GTGGTGCTCTCACAGGCGGGTGTGTGATCCGTTGAGGTTTTGGCGTGATACCCTCAGAGGCCGGCGTCGCGTGGTGCTCTTAGAAGCTGGTGGGGGCTTCCAGAGTCTTCAGTGTAGGACCCTCAGAGTCACCGGTGAGTGGCCGGGCCGTGGGCACTGGGCAATGAGCCGGTATGGGACCCTCAGAGGAAGGCACCGGTGTGAGACTCAAGAGAGGTCAGTGTGAAGCCTTCACAGTTGCCCGTGTGGGGCAGTGAGTGCACTGGCGTGGTGCCTTCCGAAGGCCGGTATGGGATTGAAGCTTAGCGAGGTGATAAAGGACTTAACCCTCGCCCGTATTGGTGTTTTTCCAGCCACGAACGTATAAGGGGGGGGGGGGGTCCGTTGGCCCCCCTTGCCGTTTCGCCCCTGATCGACCTAGAGCTTTGCGGAAAAAAACGAGCGTGTTGCCCGTGACGAGAGGAAGCCGATGATACCCAATTTTAAGGTCCTAGATTATCGGTTGAACTTCCAGGTCAGGTCAATGACCCAAAAGTCGGGAAAACCGGGACCAGTTAGAACGTCGTAAAACGTGGTTACTATGGGGTTTTTAGGGTGCTGATTACGAATATCATGTTAGTTATGATAATAGATGATGTCTTAATGCATTTAGGCCAGGTCGAGTCAGGTCAGGTCAGGTCAACCAGTAAGGGTTTGCCGGATATTCGTAGTAGGTGGCAACCGCCTCTGACAGCTTCGTAACATGTTACGAAGGCACCAAAACTACTTGGTAAATGTTCAAATGGTTGCTAAATTCGAATTCAGCTAAAAAACTAGCCTAGAAACATGTAAAACTCGAAAAAGTGAACCGAAGTCATCAAAGGTCAATGACCTGACCTGGCCTTCCGGTGACCTTGACACCCACCCTAATGCATGGGAGCAACATCATATCCCATGTTTGAAAGCTTGAAACCACGAAAAGACTGCAAACGCGCGGCTAATGCGAGCCGACATCAGCCGAATCGCGATTCCGGCCAAACATGGTCTCGAAAAGTAGGTCACAGGTCAAAGGTCATTAGGGTCAGGGTCATGAAATTTTAAGGGTAGGTGTAAAATTGATAAACGCGAGGGCACTCACAGTTTCGTCGCGATCGGCCGCTTTTTACGCGATTTATTCGCGAAAAACCATGGGGGGGTCCGTTTTAACCCCCCCCCCCCTATACGGGCGAGGGTTAAGTGGTGCCTTCGGTAGGACCGGTTCGGAAGCATTATTGTGGGGTCCTCAGAGGTATTATTGATGACTGAGGCCAAAGAGGTGCCGGTGTGGACCCTCAGAAGTGCTAGAAGCTAGAAGTGCTAGAAGTGCTAGGGCCTCACACAGGCCCTGAGAGACGCCAGTGAGGTTCCTCACAGGCGCCGTTGTGGGCCCTCAGAGACACTGGTGTGGGGCCGTCACAGACGAATGTGGGGCCCATAGGCATAGAGGCTGCTGGTCTGAACCCCTTACAAGCCGGCAGGGGGCTCTCAGAGACCAGCAAGGGGCCCTCAGGCCAGCAAAGGGCTCCCATAGGCCGGCGATACCTTCAGAAGCTCTGTGGGGTCCTTAGAGACCGGCACAATACTTTCAGACGCCGGTGGGGCCCTCAGAGTCGCCGATGTAGGGCACTCAAAAGTCACCGGTGGGTGGCCGTCAGATGCGCTGGTGTGGGGCCCTCAGAGGCGCCGATGTTGGGTCCTCAGAGCCGCTGATAAAGGTCCTAAAGAGGCACGGTGTGGGGCCCTCAGGAGTGCCAGCGTGGGGCCCTCAGAAGCACTGGTATGAGGCCCTCAGAGGTGGCAGTGTGGGGGCACTCAGAAGCGCCGGTGTAGGACCTGCACAGTCGCCGGTGAAGCCCTTCACAGGCGCCAATGTGGAGTCCCTCAGAGACACAGGGCCATCAGAGGCGCGAGCTGCTGTTGTGGACCCTTCATAAGCCGACAAGGGGATTTCAGAAGTCGGTGGTGCCTTGAGGAGCCCTGTGGGGTCCTTAACCACCGGCATGGTTTTCTCAGATGCTGCTGGTACCCTCCGAGTCACCAGTGTGAGGCCGTCAGAGCCACTGATGTGGGGTCCTCAGAACCGCCGATACAGGGCCTTTAGAGACACTGGTGTAGGCCGTCAGAGTTGGGGGGGGGGGGGGGGAGTGGGACCCTCAGATACGCCGGTTTGGGACCTCATAGGCGCCGGTGAGGGCCCTCAGAGTCGCCGTTATGGGCCCTCAGAAATTTGTGTGGGGCTATCACAGGCGGGTTCGAGGCCACTAGAGGTGGCCCGTAATAGGCCGGTAAGGGCCCTCAGAAGCCAGCAAGGGACACTCAGAAGGTGGCGTAGGGCCTTCATGGAGAACTTAGTGTCGCTATTCAGGGGCCCATGGGATGTCTACGAGCCCTGTGGGGCACTTCTGAGTCGAAATATGACAGAAATATGGTCAGTAAACCGTCAACGGCCAATTGGCGCCACAGGGCCCCTCGTGCCCGTGTGAGGGACCTTCGGGACCTGTTTAGGCCCTCAGAGGCGACGGTGAGGGCTATTAGTCGCCATTACGGGGCCCTCAAAGAAATTGGTGTGGGACCGTCACAGACGGGTGTGGCCTGGGGCCCCTAGAGCTGGCCCCTAATGGACCGGTAAGGCCCCTCAGGCTGGTTAGGACGCTCTGGCCGGTAAGGACCCCGAGGCCGGTAAGGGCCCTTAGAGACCGCTGAGCCCCCCCCCCCCTCCCGCTTTCGACGCCCATGGTCAGATCCCATTGAAATTGAACTCACCTGAATGAAGTGAACTATTGAAGAGTGTGCCTATGGCATTTATCAATCCGGTGCGTAGTAGCAAAGCCAAACTGCCAGCAGCGGGCTGACCACCCCTCTTACGCATGCATATCTACCGCATAAAGTACCAGTATCTCGAACACCAGAGCTGTGGCGTGTTCTTTGCGTCTGCCCCTTATAACGTGTAGTCAGTTGACTGCTGATTATTGTTCGTATTTCACAAAGCGTAAGAATTTGACACACAACAGCGACACAGTAAATGCCCTCAAGTACTCACCTCTGGCTCCCGAAACACAAGTGCCGCCCTTCCCTTGGGATTTGATGCCGCCCCCGGAGGGAGTTATTTCCAGCCCATTTTTTGAGGAGTGATTACGCCCCTGCTACGAGGTCTAGAATTGCTAAAAATTGAGTTTGAAAATTTGACGTCATCAATTTTGAACAGTTTTTTCGCTATAACTTCGCCAAAAAAGAGGTATCAATCTAAAATTTGGTATGTGGATGGAAGGCGGTAAGGACTATCACATATATTCCGGTTTTTACGAAATTCAAAAAACTTTTTGGATTTTTTGACTATTATATCCCAAAAATCTATTTTTTGATTTTTGGGGGTCAAAACCAAAAAAAATCAAAAATCCGAGATAGCAGTTTTGTAGCTCTGTCAATTCTACAGCTTTTATGTCCTAAACATTTTTCTGTATTTGCAAAGCTATAGGCCTGACAGCTCTTCCCGCGAAACCCTTTTTTGGGTCGAAAACGGCAGAACATGACGTCACTCTGACGTCATTTCCGGCCAACCTATCATAGCTTTTGGAAAAATTTTTGGTCACAATGTGTAAAATTGATGTCCGGGAGGGTACTAAAAGTTTGGTGACGATCGGCGCAGCGGTTCTGGAGATATATCGAAAAGTCTGGAGGGGGGCAAAAAATAGCCCCCCCCCCCCACCAGGTCGCGGGTTAAGAGATCTATGGAACCCTTCACCCTTCATGCAACTAACTAGAAAAACTTCCCAATAAAAATTTTAAAACTTAAGTGTATACCATAAAGAAAAAATATACCCTTTCAAAATGATAAAACATGCTTCAAAAGTATAACTTTTATACATACCTTTGCTGATTTCATGTTTTATAAAATACCCTTAACACGACGAGGAAATAGTGCTGAAGATTTTTGCCTGCCCGAATGCTGGCAGCAAAACTCGCAAATGATAACTTCACGTGCGGATTCAATGCTGACCGTCTCGAGCATAGGTAAGTGAAGCCGGTTTTTAGGTTCATGTGAGGCTAATCTGGTAAAAACTGCGTTGTGTCCAAAAGGTGGCACCCTTCCTTTAAAGGGACCCTCCCACCTTCAAAAAAGTTAATGAATTGGCACGAAAGTGATGTCGCTCGGTTCAGAAAGAGCGAAAACGAATATCTACCAAATTTCATCGAAAAATATTCACCGGTTTTCAAGATATTAGACTTTTACTTTTGTTTACTTTTTGGGATCTCCGCTGTTCCTAGCGACTTTATTTGAAAGTGCGGCATTTGTTGCGCGCAAAGCAGCATATACCACCGCGTGCTACCAAACGTTTTAGTAAAAGATTTAAAAATCGTTAGATCTCCGCTGACGTCACAAATTCTAAGGGGGCATACCAATGCACTAGCCCCTTAGAATCCGAAAACTGCAAGTTTGAAATTCCATATCTCCGAATTAAAGCATTTGTCGATGTTGTGAGTGCCCAAACCGGTATTTGCAGGCCATGGCCACCAATTTGGCTATCTCAACTCAAAACTAATGTTAAGGTGGGAGTGTCCCTTTAATGGAAAGCCGCTAATGTATTTAGGGCCTTGTCCACTGGCGAATTCGTGGAAGCTATCTCGCGGTAAACTTTCACATCGGTCCTCCATTATTGTGATTAGCCGGCGGGGCGCCGCGCCTCGGCTCGTCTCTCCGCTGGCATTAGGTCAGTTGGTCGGTACCGCGGGGGCTCACCGTCCTTATCAGGACAGAGCAGCGGCATCCTTCACGCACGAATGGTTCGACCGTGTCCTTCAGGTCATTACACCCCTTGATTATACACGAAACTCAGGTGAGCGTGGCTACTGGCTCAGCATGTGCGCACTCAGACATATTTCGAACAAGCGATTTGAGCCCTCTAGCTCGGGTGGTTTTAGGAAAACGAAACGGTGAAATGAAGCCAAGCTGTTGGCCGGCGTGAGGCCGGGAAACGATAAGGTCACTAGGCATAGTGTTTTATTTTTCATGACGAGAGGCGCGGTAGGACGACCGGGGCGGAGGGAAACAACTTGATATGTCACACGACGCAAAAGCTATTTCTACTCAATTGGAAGCGGTGAGAAAAAGGGTTACAATCACGCACTTACTCCTATCGTTCAAAACTTGAATTGAAATAAGATTGTAAAAAAGAGCATTAGGTTGTTTGCAAACAATATTAACGAAAAGCACTGTCTGGATGCACATCATTTCTATTCTTTGCTTTCTCTCATTCAATAAGGGATAGGGAGCCGTTATATCTATTGATTTTTACCAATATGTATTTCGTAACATACTTAAACGATAATAGACTGGGCATTATGTGAATACGCAAATTTCCTGCCAATTACCTTTACAGGTGGGGAAAACTTATCAATATACCTTCGCTAATACATTAGGCACTGGCAGCCTCAAACGCTTCCCCAAACCAAAAGCAAGGAACGTCAGATTCACATAAACCACAAGCATATGAGCGTTAAACATATGTGCATGAATAAATGAGCAACAGTTCATCCCAAATCCAAGATTTTAGATAAAAAACAATAGTAACCATTCACCGTGTCATTTATACCATCATACCATTTCATTTCATGTCATTTCACCGCTCATTCTCAGAAATTTCCGTTAATCTACGAAAGACTTCGCTTGCTCCGCTCGCTCCGTAATAAATCAATGCCACAAAATCATTACCAGCCTTCGGTGGACTCATCCAAGAATGAACACCACGATATGTCCTCTCCTTTATCCGCGAATACCGCATGTCTACCTCACTGCTTCTGCGGGATGGATTTGCTTATGATTAGCCAGAAGCGACTGCATGCCTTTGTTTTTTTTTTTTCTAATCACACATTCACATGCATGAGACGATTATCTCGTCTTCAAAAGGAGACAGCCAGCTATGGGAGACTGCCACCACGTTGCTACAATATACCTACAGTGAACAAAGCAGGCGGCACGCATTACATGGATATGCGTTTGGACAGTAGCTACAGAGTACAGAGTCATATATTCAACAAGCAACAGTCATTAATCTTTACTTAAAATGCACGAATACGCTTACTTAAATGCTTACTTACTGCACATAACACCAGAGTTACCCTTATACGGTCAAGTCCATATTTACTGACACATCCAAGCACCTGTTTTGAATGAAACGACGCGCTTGCGAATACACACAACAGTGATGGATCTGCCAGAGTTTAATGCGTACACCCAAACAGTATATGTGAGGGTTGGATACACCTCAATACTGAGTTCAACTGGTACACTCAAGCAGCAAGCTTAAGCAGAATCCTCAAATGCCGGTTTTAACTGAATCTCCTAGACACCGTGTCTAGCCGATGCACCCAACCACCGGGGTTCAACTAATACACCAAACACGAGGTTTATCTGATACACCCAACCACCGTGTCTAACCGATACACCCAAACACCGTGTCTAACCGATACACCCATGCACAGGGTGGCTGATTTGCCAGGGTAAGCAGCGACGCAGCGGGCGTGGCCCCGTGCGCGTTCTGCAGCACCCTCGTCGTCCACAGCGTCGGGTTCCAGGCGAACAGCTTATAACTGCAATCACCTCATGGTGTACGACAGGCCGGTCCCGTCTCAGGACCTGGGTGTTCGCGCCGCCCGGCAGACCGCAGGTTATGTGGACACTGAGGACCAGCTGGAATAGAGGGGAGAGGACGTCAGAGGCGAGCCACTCACCACTTGGGGTGATTGGGAGTTCCGACATACGTTCAAACCTTTCCAAACCAGCTTTCACATAAATATCAAAATTGTCAATGCAGTTCTTCAAAGAATGGCGAATGGTGAACATTTATCAAAAGGAACAGAGCAAACATTTCGGAAATGGTAACAGCTATAAATAATATGTTTGTACGAAGCCATTAACGACATTGATTGAACCGATACAGTCAATGTGGCACAGTCCCTGCCTATTCACTTACCAAACACAGCATCACCACCAGAGTAGTGTGACGGTTCGCCATGACGTCCCGCTTCTCCTTCCACAACCAGTACAGCATCAACGTCCTACCACGGTGACGGAGGGCCCCCTTTCTGAGCACAGCAGTGTTTCTGCAGCCCGGCACGACACACACGGACAGATACGGAACCAGAGACCACTTCCAGTTCCGGTCGGAGGTGCAGTGGGGGTACTGCGCGGCGGAGTGAAGGGGGCATTGCATGAGTTCGGGCTGCGGGATGGGGGACCGTCGGAAAGGAGTGTATGGAAACTGCATGGAAAGGAGTATAAAATATCGCAGTGTTAAGACGGAAAACGACTTTTTCAATGATATCGCTAGACTGAAAAAATGCAGGAACATGCATAAAAGGCTTATTTGCGGAAGACCGCAAATAAAAACAATTAAAATAGCTTATTACACATCACTATTCGTAAATGGAAAAAACCATTGAGCAATGGCAAATAATCCAACACCACAAGAATCGCCCCCAGGATTCAGTGAATTCACCAAGAATAAAACCCACGACATGTCATTCCTCCTTTTACCGCATTTACCGCGTATCTACCGCATTGCTCTTCCGGGATGGACATAGGGGATTTTTCATGGTTCCGAGTGGAAGATGTCTATAATTTTGCATGGGTCTGCCGGGATGATGAAAAATTATCAGCACGAGTGTGGTAATCTTTTCACGAGGGACCGAAGGTCCCGAGATGAAAAGATGGCACGATGCTGAAAAGATGGCAAGAGTGCTGATAGTTTTTCATCTTCCCGACAGACCCATGCATAATTTTATTTCTTACACGATAGGCATTAGTTGCTATAAATTATTTAATTCTTCAATTCTATAAACTCAAAAAACGAGTGATCTTGTCCCGGCGGGGAAAGATCAACTGTTCTTACCACGAATGGTTCATTACGATTTATCCTCGTGTCTTTGCCTAATGGATCTTTCGATTCGGTGTGTAAAAAAGTATTTCTTTTCCAACCGGGTTACAAAAAAAAAACGAGCGACGAAGGAGCGAGGTTTTTCTGGAATACGCGAGGAAAAGGTATCCGATCTTCCACGAATGAGTCATGAGGAATCCTAAATCCTTATATTTAGAAGTTTATTCAAAATTCATTTAAATATTTTTCTTAAATGTAGGCATTTTCTCATGACACATATATTTAGAGCTTTTGTATTTATATCATTATTTCTACCACAAACAGCCATCAAAAAATGTTGCGGCTTTTGACGCATCACCACTTGAACGTGCGTGATTTTTCGCCGTGAACCATCGAGACCTTATCTTTGCATCTCAGAGGATGCAGAGATGACAAATTCTTATCGTTGCATCTCAGGAGTGCGAGATAGAAATATTCCTGCACTGTAGACCCAATGGCAAATAAACCTCTACTAGAAAGATATGAGTTGTTCATAATAAGCCAGAGAAACAGCTGTGCTATTGTGTTTTTTTTATTACGCATTCACATATCCACGCGTTTATCTCTTCTTCGCGGAATGCGACTGCAAACAATGGGCAGTTTAACGAATTGCTACAGTAGTCAGTAGTCAGTATACATGGTGTACTTACAAAGCATGCATCAAGCATTGCAAAGAAATGCGTTTGAACAGTCGTTACAGAATCACATTTTCAACAACCATCAGTACTTAGTCTCCACATACAAATGCACTCAAATAAATGGTTTAATATAATAGCATAACACCAGAGTTACACTGATACGGTCAAACACTATATTTACTAACGCATACATGCACCCGGTTTGGATGAATCATTCACCAGAACGACGCGTTTACAAATACACACAAGAAAATGGTGGGTCCGCCAGGGTTTATTGCGTACACCCAAACAATGTATGTAAGGGTTCGCTACTGCTCAATACTGGGTTTAACTGGTACACTCAACAACTGGCTTAACCAATACACTCGAATGCTGGTTTTAATTGACTCAGCTTAACACCAGGTTTCACTAATACGCTCTGACACGAGGTTAAGCTGATGCATCTTAACACAGAGTGGCTGACTGGCCATGGTCTGATAAACCCAAATACCGTGTTTAACTGAAACATCCAAACGAGTGGCTCATATTTTCCATGGTTTAACTGCAGTGCACCCAAACACGGGGTCCAACCGATACACCCAAAGACTGGGTTTAGCCGATGCACCCAAAAACCGGGTTTATCCGATACACCCCAACACCGGGTTTATCCGATGCACCCCAACACCGGGTTTAGCCGATACACCCAAACACCGGGTTTAGCCAGTACACCCCAACACCGGGTTTAGCCAATACACCCCAACACCGGGTTTAGCCGATACACCCAAACACGGGGTGGCTGACTTGCCAGGGCCGACATACTGGCCGATCTGGCACCCGTCGGGTCACACAGCATCGCCCCCGGCCGCAGGGCCGTCTCCCAACGGGACAACCCAGGCTGATCACTCTTTGTTGTTCATCCGGTCGAATCCTCCTTGCCAGGGTCTGGATGTCCGTGTCACCGGGTCGACCACGGGTCATGTGAACGCTGGTGAGGACCAGCTGAAATAGAGGAAACAGATGTCAGGTGAGGCAGGTCAACCGCCATTAATGGATCATTTAATGTGTGTTTGTTCAATTGTTCATCTAAATTCAACAAAAGTACTCTTTTACTTAAATAGACCTAAAAAGCAAGTAGCAAACTGTTGTAGCGTGGCGAAATCAAATAGGTACGCAATACGCTGAGCAATCAGCTTAGAAAGTTCGCTCTCACAAAGAAAGAAGCTAGCACTGCTAAGGAAAAAATACACGATAAGAGTTACACCAAACAGAAAACCACCGCAAAAAAACTTTTACCATATAAGCCCATAAACGACTTTAAGGAGTAGTTTAGACATTACCATTAGAAAAATGAAAGCGCACTACGGAAAAAAACGAATACAATGTCACTCACCAAACACAGTAGCACCGATAGAGCGGTATGGCGGTTCGCCATGACGTCTAACTACTTCTTCCACAACCACAATGCAGCACTGCCGTCCTACCACGGTGACGGAGGACCCCCTTCTGAGCACAGCAGCGCCTCTGCAGTCCACCGCACCACTTCCGGCTGCCAGATATCGGACGGAGACCACTTCCGGTTCCGGTCAGGGGCAGTGGAGGCCCATATTGGAGATGTCAATTGGATGCAACTTTTTTAGTGCATCAATCTAGCACTGACACCAATTTTATTGGTATTTCAAGCTTAATATTTTTGGTATTATGTTACAGTTAAGTCCATATAACACTATGGAATGCGCTGAGTTTGGTTAAACGCCGGGTTTTCCCTCAAATTATCCAGTTGGTCCGGTTTGTAACTTATTCCCGTGCTTGACGTTTTGCCGATTTGAAAAGCTTCAAATCGGGAAAACGTCAAGCTCAGCTCTATCACCTCTACTGTCAACTGTCAGCTCTGACACCACTAGCCCGTGCTAGTGGGCTGGCTGTTGTGACTGCGGCGGTGGCGGGTCCGCGTGCCTGCACGTCTGCGCTGAAGCATACAGGGCGAGGTTCGACGTACGAGTACATCGGAGCTCGCGACTGAACACACATTGGATCAGACTGGAGCTTAAAGGGAGATAATGAGCTTTCTTTTTTCTTAAATAAAAATTACTCGACATCTATACTATTTCTACTGTAGTTTCTATAAAATATGAAAATTTCCTAGCACATTTTCGTATGTGAAAAAGGTTTTTATTTTTGCAAAAAAAGAAGCAGTACTTGCAGTACTTGTAACACCCACCGAAATGCGTTGTCCTTCTCTATAAAAAAGTCGCAGTATATGGCGCTTTTGTTTCAAACAGCGACGCTTGGGTTTTTGTTTATGTTATCGCCTTGTCGTTGCTTGGTTGTAAGGATTCTAATTTGAATAAGAGTTAATTCGGTTTAGAATTAAAGGGACTATCCCACCTTCTAAAATGTTGTTAAAACCAGTTAAATTGTGCCCGACTTTATAGATTGGATGACCAGAAACACGGTTCTGGCATTTATTTTTCATTAAACATCTTAGGCTTCCCATATTCCAAACACAAACTTTCAAATATGTGACGTCACAGCCCAAAATTACCTCCTTTCCCAGGCCACATTACTGTCATAAAGCTGATTCTTTTTACTCTGTACGCACCACAACAAAGTTCAGACCAAGTTTTAAGCGATTTTTCAACGAACAAACCCATTTAAATCAGAATGACTAAACGAGGTGACGTCACACTAACGGTCGCTCCATGTTGAAGATAGGCCCTTGTACAAGGCCCATTTTCAAATAAAGGGAACGAATTTCTTCAACACCAAGAGGCCGCGGGGGTTGCAACCTAGATAGATAGTGGTTTCTGAACCTCGCCGCAAACTTGGCTATCTCAACTCAAACCCCATGTTAAAGGTGGGATAGTCCCTTTAATTAGACTCTAATTCGGGGGTACATAGTGCCTACTCTTCTTTGTTTCCAAGTATTATTTTGCGCCACAAATGAACGGCATGCGCCAGAAACGCAGCCAAATCTTGCGATTGCGACTACGAAATTCATTATTTTGGCGTCAGAGCCTGAAGCGAAAAATACAAGCATATTTATTTCAAAAAGACTTCAGGTTTGTCGAACGGTGTTATGAGAATTTTGATAACAGTACTGCATAAGTTTTTCAGTGATGCCGCAAAAGTGTTGTATCTATCTTCTTTTATTGTGCAGTCGGCGGGACCGATTCAAAATTGAGTCGTTGCTACTAAAATAGCAGCATATGGCGTCAGATGATGAACAGGAAAAATAGTTGCGTAAATTTAGACATAAACCACCCCCAAACCATGAATATCTTTTGAAGGCACTATAGACGACCATTAACTAAGTAGATGTGATGAAGATCAAATGTAAGGAATACGCTCATTTTACAAAATTACATGCTAGTACCAAAAAGTGATGTAAGTACTTATTCAACGGTCATTTTCAGCGCTCCCCGCTAACGTGACTTCAAGTTGAGATATTTGCGGCAAGGTACCGAATTGAGCAAAATGGTTTTAATTTACATTATAACTTGTTGTGTTTTGTCAGAAAATGGTCCTAACTCAGATTTTGTGGAAAAAGGTCATTATCTCCCTTTAATGCTATCCCATTTATCAGTGACCTTTTACAAGCAGAATGTGGTCTATTATGAAAGTGAAGCTAAGTTTGTAATATACTCAAAATCGTCCAGATATGTACTTTTAATTCAAATGTGACGAACAATTAAGTCTAAAATAACAACCAAAGAAAATTCACGGCTATATCATTTGATTGAGATGGGGAGGGTAAACGTCCCCCCCCCAGGCGCCCTCCTCTGACCCAAGGTACCGATAGGACCATAGCTGCTGGACCGGGGATCATTCAGTCCTGCCCCCTCACTTCACCAGCCCGGGTTTTAAGCCACGCCGCTGACAATAGTGTTTTCCTCTTTTCAGAACATTCGGCACACCAGAGAGGACCGATACAACGTTTAACTCACCGCTAAGGGCCGAACAACATCTCATGGACGTGGCAGCGACGCACCGCGCTCATTTTTAATCCAATAGTCCATTCGGCTAATCCCTCGGTCCTCCACTTCCCCTTAATTCTTTTGTTGCTGTTTTTCTGTCCCGATAACCTCTACTACACACATGGATCTTAATCCGGTCTTTCTTGTCACCTCCGCTGTTTTCGTTGTGGCAACCCGGTGCCAGTAGGTATGCGGCATTGATTCAAGTTCTGTTTTGATGAACCCACTCTTGGTCGTCTATTGTGTTACCTTTGATGCGGCTTTGTCTCAAATGTCAATGTTACACTATTTTTACATGCGGACGAATATTTGAGACACCGTTAGGGGAATGCAATCTATCGACGGGGCCTGAAGTTAGGGTTGTGCTACGATTTTCTAGGCATGTTACAATGTTTTATTTTTAAGTGGGCAGTTAAAGGGACTATCCCACCTTCTAAAATGTTGTTAAAACCAGTTAAATTGTGCCCGACTTTATAGATTGGATGACCAGGAACACGGTTCTGGCATTTATTTTTCATTAAACATCTTAGGCTTCCCATATTCCAAATACAAACTTTCAAATATGTGACAAAATTACCAAAATTACCTCCTTCCCCAGGCCACATTACTGTCATAAAGCTGATTCTTTTTACTCTGTAGGCACCACAACAAAGTTCAGACCAAGTTTTAAGCAATTTTTCAACGAACAAACCCATTTAAATCAGAATGACTAAACGAGGTGACGTCACACTACCGGTCGCTCCATGTTGAAGATAGGGCCTTGTACAAGGCCCATTTTCAAATGAAGGGAACGAATTTCTTCAACACCAAGAGGCCGCGGGGGTTGCAACCTAGATAGATAGTGGTTTCTGAACCTCGCCGCAAACTTGGCTATCTCAACTCAAACCCCATGTTAAAGGTGGGACAGTCCCTTTAAGTAGACGATACAACAGTCCCGACGAGTGTATTGCTAGTTAACTAGCAATACACAACAAGTTTGAAAGTTTACAATACACAGCAAGTTTGAAAGAAACTTGTTGCGCACAAGAGACACTTTTTGACAAAGTCACAATCTGACATGATTGAGTTAATTACCAATTAAGTATTCAACATCATTCAGAAAGGTAATACCAAACTAAAGGCAAGGTCCACTGGTTTCTCCTTGTACCTTTCTTAGCGTCGTCATTTCCTTCCTAAGTTGTATACCTTTACTTGTTGGGTTTACGCCGGTTTTCGGTCTGTTGCCTAGTTTCTCTGCGTTTGTGATCTACATAGTCCAAAGCAACAGGTCCCGTTTCAGCGTCCGTTTACTACCAGCTGTTGTCATGGAAACATGGGCACCATGTTAAATAACACCCCTAATTTTATCTATCAAACTCTCACCTCAATAATCACACATAACTGTGCTGGACACCAGCCGCTCGACTTGAGCCGGGCAAGACCGCAAACTGTTTCGGTAGTTTCACCTGGAAATTAAATACAAACATAAATAGAAACGGCGGTGGATTGACGTCACTACGCGAGTTTCTAAAAACGAGACAGTGACCCCAGTGGGAAAATAAATGGCCATCGTCCCAGATCAGAGTCACGAGCTGGATGCGGAGCTACAAATAGCGGACCATACGTCAAAACGTCAGGTGATAGTCCGATGAATCATTCATGGTACCGATGGCCCTACGATTATATCTAAAATGGTGAGTTTTTACTACGCTTCCCATACACCGAGATATCCCTTTAGCATTATCCTAGCCGTGCGGTAAATATTTGCACGTGATCTTTCCTGCACTGTTTTCCGGCACGGGTTGATGACCTACAGTTCTGGTGATTTTTTTGATAAAAAATCTTAAAAAAGGTGATTTCAATAATTAACTTGTGAGTTTCTGAATAGATATTAACCCTCGCCCTGGCAGGGCATTTTTCATAACACGGCCTGGCAGGGGGGGGGGGGTCGATGCGACCCCCCCCCTCGCGATTGGCTCCTATGGCACCTAGAAACACCAAATTTGGTAGGTAGGTGGGCCCCCCGGAGTTCTCGCCCCTGTGCAAATTTGGTTGCTCTAGGTCAATATTTAGGGGGGTTTTGGGGGGTATAAATGTAAAAATTTCGCTAAAAACAGGTCAAAAGTTTTTCGCTTATAACTTTTGATCTAATTACGATAGAGCAAAAAGAAAAGCACCAGTGAACTCAGCACGTCAAGGCGCGTCGAATGATATACTTTTTAGCTTGCTTAAGTGTACTTAAAGTTTTTCTTAAATTTTAAGTAAACTTAAATTAATAAATTAAGTTCAAGTTAACCAAATTGCATCATATCGCATATCATTTGATTCGTCTGATCGCAAGGAACACAATGATACCATTTTTGAAGCTGTAGCGTCATTATGTGCCAAGTTATTGGCAAAAACGTCATTTGACCTCAGTTGACCTCATTTGACCTGACCCATGGATAAGTACACCAAACAAAGAAGCACCAAGTGACCTGCTGTTAAGTACCGTGGTTTTAAAGCACAAAAGTGATAAAACGAAGCGGATATTTCCAGTATTTTCCGAATTTAGTATTTTCCCATAGGCTTAACATTACGACGTAATGACCTCTAACTGACCTCAGGTCAGTGACCTCAAAAAAACCGGACTATATGTTATACAACTTGGTGAACTTAGCACATCCTGAAAGTTTGAAGGAAATCAGTCGAAAACTGTGAGTTGGACAGGTGCAAAAAGAAAATTGAAATTTGACCATGACCTTGTACCGGTTTTTCTGACCTAGTGACCTGACCCAAGGTCACCCGGACCTGAAATTTTCAGGTCATATGTAAAAAGGTTGCCCCATAGGCTGTGCCAAATTTGGCGGCGCTGCGCGCCGCCGTTTTTACGCTATCTTCGAAAAACCTTAGGGGGGGGGGTCGCATCGACCCCCCCCTGCCAGGGCGAGGGTTAAACGACGTATGGGAAATATCTTACTGAACTTGCTCTGGGAAGAAAAATGGAAACCTCGGTCTTCAAAAAATCTCCGGCACTCGGCTACGCCTCGTGCCTACAATTTGTTTAAAGACCTCGGTTTCCATTTTTCTTTTCCAGAGCCGTTCAGTAATATATAATCGTGAATGCATAGTTATACAGACATAATGGACCCTTCAGGTCTCTCTCTCTCTCTCTCTCTCTCTCTCTCTCTCTCTCTCTCTCTCTCTCTCTCTCTCTCTCTCTCTCTCTCTCTCTCTCTCTCTCTCTCTCTCTCTCTCCTCTCCTCTCCTCTCCTCTCCTCTCCTCTCCTCTCCTCTCCTCTCCTCTCCTCTCCTCTCCTCTCCTCTCCTCTCCTCTCCTCTCTCCCTCTCTCTTTACATTGATCAGTTCAGTTTCTAGTAGAGTGCTATTGGCATGTATTGCGGTGTTAGTTAGGCAAAAGCATTCACCAATATGCTTCAGGTGACACCTCACTTTTTATTTTCTGCTTAATTAGTATTTCTATGGCAGTGATGTACGCAGACAACTAGTTACACATTTACTTTGTCTACATTATAAGAAGTAATTATTAACATAGAACACATTGTCTTGTTAAATGATGATTACGACTAGATTATTGACAATTATTGATAAATGATGATCAATGATCAGCCTTGGCTCACGAGTGAAACTTATAATGTTCACAGAAGTGATGTCATTAGTCTTAAATTCCTTGCAAGCGGACGGTCCCCATTTCCTTATTGAAATTCCTTCCTTGAGCGAGCTTACGGCAATATATGATCGCTGTAGACTGGAGATCTCACATTCTCCAGCCCTACAATAGCAATTACGGCGATTTAAGGTGATCCACGCCTATTAGTGCCAAACATTTATAAGTCTAACATAACCATTCCAAGCAAAAAAAAAAAATGTGGTTGGGTCACACTCACAATGAAATTTTGTTGGGATACATGATTCTTGAATTCCTAAACAAGAATAATCATCTTGATATTGATGATCCGAGTAGATCTATGTTATATCGATGGTTGTATATGACCACAGAGTTAGATGGTGCATTTTTGCAAATAACCTCTGTTCGGTGAATTCAAATAATAGGTTCCCTTTATCGTTTAACGGGACTAAAACAAATAAAAGATATCGATAGAAACATCCAACTCGTAGACAGTTGAGCTACATGAAACCGTAAAAGTTAGCCCCATTTTAGTTCACCTGAAACTATTATATCGCGGCTCAAACTGTGGGTCCAAGAAGAGAGCCCTGGCGTAGCGCCGATATAAGGCGGTCAGTCACGCGTCTCACGCTCAGTAGTTGACTGGACGGCCGAGCGGTGGTGCCACGGACGCGGAGGGGTCAGTAGGGACATCCTCCATGTCTCAGACCTTCTGAACTCGGGGTCTGTCTCGTCATTTGAGCTCGGACTTTCAGCAAGTGGTGGAGATGCAGTCCGCCGCGCTGTTGTGTGTTTGTCTGGCCGCGGCGGTGGCCGGCTCCACCCTGACCCTGCAGCGGCAGGCAGCTGTCGATGGGTCAGCCCAGGTCACCAGGTCACGGCTCACCAGGTCGGCAAGGGTCATCCCCTCTGGAGGTGCCCGCGACGGAGAGGCGCTCTCAGATCCAGACGACGTAAGTGTTTTTTTCTGGCGACGTGCTCATTTGAACATTCCTTGAGCTCTGTCTTATGAACAGATTGAGATGGCATCTTTTGTCATACATTTTTTAACATTCATGATCCGCCTCATGTATGCTAACACAGATAACAGTAGTACAGGGGCCGTATTCACGTCGACTTCGTAAGTCGATTTTCTTTCGTAAGTATAATTTGGTATTCACGTCGACACTTCTTAAGTTTTTATCGACGGAGTTCACGTGATTAAAAAAAAAATTACTTAAGAAGTATGTCAAACTTAAGAAAATTCTTACGAAAATGATCGACGTGAATACGGCCCCTGGATTGGAAACAGAATATTGGCACTTATTCTTTGGAGCGCTCTTGCGAGGAACATTATGAATATTAGAGAGAGAAAATATATGAAAAAATGACCTCTCCTCGACATTTAAAATTATTAGAATAGCCAAATATTACTGTATTGGTATTTCGACCAACAGGTCTTCTTCAGAATAAGACAATGTACACAATTGTACGAGAACGAGAATACAATAATTGATGCAGCAGACTTATTCCCGCGGTTTTCAAATTCAAAAATTAGCGCGGTTTATCTCGCGCTCATAAAACAGTGGTACAACCTTTTTAACAACTTCAAAATATCACAGAATATGCATGAAAACACATCGCTTGACACATCGAGTTCAAAGGTCAACACTCCAAAGTCAAAGGTCAAAGTACTATTCTAATCAAAGGCTATTCTAATAATTTTAAATGTCGAGGAGAGGTCATTTTTTCATATATTTTCTCTCTCTAATATTCAGAATATTGGCAGTTGCAGTAAGAGGCCGAATGTTTTTATGCGACGGCGCCAAAATGAAATTCTCGCGTGCTGCTGGGTGGATAATTTGTGTGTTGTGTATTGCAAGAAATCGTCTTTTTTTGCGTTTTGTCGTTTACGTTTAAAATCGAAGCTACCAAAATTACTTTTATTTGCTTGAAAATTAAAGTATTTCACTTTTAATTTGATCATTTAGAGGGCACAATGCGTGGTGTTTTCTTTTGAAAAAATTGTGGCGCAAAGCCTTACATACGTATAGGTACATCAACAATGGAGGAGGGGAATGAGCGGTAAAAACGGAAAACCTGCCGTTCTGGCTACAACCCAACGAACCAAGAGGAACAAAAGATTAGAACAGGAGATGTCTCACATGCCACCTATTCGCTTTTCTCACCGAAACATCTCTACGGGCTCAGTGGGTTGGCGCCATGGGTCACCGTGACCGGGCTGAGTGGGATCAGGACTATTCCGCTGTGTGTGAGCTGCATTTCAGAAAGGAAGATTTCGAAGAAGATCGGTTATTTCGCACCGGCATGCAGAGACAGCGCCGTCGGCTCAAGAGCGGCGCAGCCCTGTCAGTATTGACCAGCGTGGATTACGCGATGCCCCCTGTGCACGAGCGGCCAGCGAAACGCCATGGCATCCGCACGCCACTCCCACCAGAAGCAGGTTATGAAGGGCCAGACCGATGCGCTCTTCACGAATGACAATGTCAGCTATCAGGTGGCAACTACAACTGGTCGAGTGTCCGACAGTTCCTGGAGAATGAGGCGGTACTCCCGGTCCCTGGTCACGTTTCAGCCCCGCCGACGCCTCCGCCCGAATGGCACCATCACAGCAGGAGTGACAGCAGGATGGTGCTCTTGTCATCTAGGAGCTAGTGGCCGCGGTGGCGAAAGCCACTGAAATGGAGGACCTGGATGACAGCGCCAAGGCCTCCCTGGGACACAGCTCCGGCGCCTTGGCACGCTCGGCTCTGCGCTCGGCCATCAGGCGTAACAAGTACGGTGCCTCCGCCAGCCTGCTGATCTATCATGGGGCTACGCCGCTGGAGGTACGACTGGAGAAAGACAAGGAAGACATCGACCTCACCGTGAGGATCTGCCAGATTTGGAGGCAACTGCCGAAGACGGAAGCTAACAGGAACCAGCTGCTGGTCTGCGATCAACCAAGAAGTGACGCAGAAGTGACGAAGATAGTCGTAAACCGAGATGTCGAACCATGGTAACTGATAAGTGAGACAGACACTCAAGACAGTGCTGTCCATCGAAAGTCAGGAAGCAGACACCCCAGCCACTGGTGCAACCCGATCGAGAACCGACAAGAGGCCAAAGCTCAGCAGGGTCAAGAAGATGTAAGGCGGGGAAGTAAGGTCGCTGATGAAATTGGGGGGGGGGGCAGGCTAAGCGAAGTGACACTTGAAGGGGTGTTTTGTGACGGTTTGAATCGTGACGTTTGGATGGTTCGTTGTGACAGCACTGGTATCGATTAGCATGTAAATAAAGAGATCAAACTCCCATGTATGTACAAGTACATTTTGTGGATGAGAGTGAGGAATCATTATAATCAAATCAGTGGCATACGTTCCCTCACCACCGTGAGGAAAGTGTAACCAGCAACGTTTAGTAAAATAAGTTGACATTATGCAAAAATGCAGCAATAAACACGAGCACGGCTAGTCGATTGCTTCTTTTTAAGTTTCATTCACATAAACCAATATTTTGTGTTGCCTGTGAGAGGAGATATCGAAATATGGGCACGAAATATTCGGTTCTGTTTTCGGCCTCTTACTGCAGCCACCGGAATCCTGTTTCCAATCCAGTACTACTGTTATCTGTGATGCTAAATATCTACATTTATTCATTTTTATATTGCATTTATCTGTGTGCGCGCATTTCATCAGCATCATTCTTGAAGGCACCCATCACATCAGTGGTCTTTAACAGGTGATTATTTTCATCTCGATGCATAGATATTGAACAATAATTACAATCAGTAGCAATACAGGGCTCAAAATTATCAACGATTCGCCAGGGTTGTAATTTGCAATTATTATCGCATAGAGGAAGCGCGCTTAGTTTAGGGCACCAAAACCCTTCTTCCATGCAACGCCAGCGTGCTAATCTTAAAACGTCGAAATTATGGGCAGGACTTTGGACTAACTGACCCATAAAAAACACTCGCAATTTGTAGACCAAACTACCATCCTACGTCTGAGGTTGGCATTCGACTGACTGTCCATCTCCCTTGCTTTCAGGCAACATCGCTGACCGCTGAGGACTACCAGACAGCCAGCAACTCATCCCTAAGGACTACCCAATTCGTCGAGATCATCATCGTTCCGTACAACGCGTCTTCGGGGTCAGCTCGTCAGGGGCGCATCTTTCTCCCTCGGAGGGGGTTTGTCAAGACGTGTCTGTCGGTCACCCCACAGGGAGATGACGGCGATGATGGTGTGACCCTACAGCAGATTTTGGATGCCATCAACAACAGCAAGGATATGCTGTCCAGTGGTCAGACGTCCATCCTACAGGCCATTGCAGGTATTTCGACCGGAACGGATACGGGTGAAAGTACCGGTACCTGTGACCTGTCGGGTCTCACTGCAGGGCAAACTTCCATCATGATGCAGATAACTAGTATTGATACCGAGCTCGATCAACTGGGTGGTATTTTGACTGCGGTCAATACCGCGAAAGATATGATCATTGCAGGTCAGGCAACGATCAACACCAATATAGCAGATCTTGATTCTGATCTGGACACAGCGAAGACGATGATCATTAGCGGACAAAGTACGATCAACACGAATATTGCGGGTATCTCAACGGAACTTTCCACGACGAAGACTATGATTTTGGCGGGACAATCTACGATAAGTACCGCCATTGCCACTCTTTCGACCGATCTATCCACTACGAAATCCATGATTTTGGCCGCAATTGCGGACTTAGACAGTGACATATCTGGTGTCTCAACAGCAATTTCTGACGCCAAAACAATGATCCTCGCGGGTCAAACCACCATAAATACGAATATCGCCGATCTCGATTCTGATTTGGAAACGGCAAAAACGATGATTATTGCCGGCCAGAGCACAATTAATACCAACATTGCAGGAATCTCTACAGAGCTTTCTACCACCAAGACCATGATTCTAGACGGTCAGTCAACAATTAGCACCTCCATTGCAACTCTATCGACCGATCTCTCCACCGCGAAATCCATGATTTTGGCTGCCATCGCAGACCTCGACAGTGACGTCGCCGCAGTCAATACCGCCATCTCAGACGCCAAAACCATGATACTCGCCGGACAAACCACAATCAATAACAACATCGCAGGCCTAGCCACTCAAATCACCAACACTGAAGCCACCATCACCACCCAGCTCGACACCATCAACACCAAAATCGACGCTCTCGAGACGGGCCAGCAGGAAATTTGCGACAAGATCGAGGCTCTGGACGCCAAGCTGGACACCATCCTCGCGAAGCTGATGGACGGTATGACGACTACCTGTCCAGACGGAGCCACGGAGAGTGGAGGACAATGCTTCACCATCTCCACCGATCGAGACAGCCTGGATAACGCAGCGGCCGCCTGTGAGACCACCGGAGGAACGCTGGCTACAATGACCGCTGAAAACGCAGCTGTTATCTACGGTCTCGCAAACAGCCTGACGAGCAAACGCGTCTGGATTGGACTGACCACAGAAGCGGGATCCTGGAAATGGGAGGACGGCAGCACATACGGCACGTTCTTAGACTGGGAAGGCGGTACTGAACCACCTGCTCTTGATATGCGGTGTGGTGAAGCGGTAGCGACCTCTAGTACTGAGGGTGATTGGGAATCACAGCCGTGTACCGCTAATAGGAACTTTATCTGCTCCACTGCTGCCACGTAGGTGGGGTGAAAGAGAGAGAGAGAGAGAGAAAGAGAGAGAGAGAGAGAGGAGGGAGGGAGGGAGGGAGGGAGGGAGGGAGGGGAGGGAGAGAGAGGAGAGAGGAGAGAGAGAGAGAGAGAGAGAGAGAGAGAGAGAGAGAGAGAGAGAGAGAGAGAGAGAGAGAGAGAGAGAGAGAGAGAGGAGAGAGAGAGAGAGAGAGAGAGAGAGAGAGAGATAGAGAGAGAGTTTCAACTGTTTCAACTGTTGTTTTTATTTCTGTTGTAGCTTAGTTCGCCTTAGACGTAGCTTATAATCCGTCAGTCCGTCGCACGACAACTCTATTAGTTCGCACGTTTTACGAGCATCCCTTTGTCGTACTTACTGTTGTAATTGCTGTTGTGGTACTCGCTGTTGTACCTAATGTTTGTAAATACTCATTTCATCCAATGTGCATGTGACGGTGCGGAGTTATTCCTGACTGCTTATAGCGATATTGTATGCAGTTGTTTCATGCATGAAATCGCTGGCATTAATAAAATCATACCGTGCTACGCTGCCTTTCTTGGTAAGACGTGTGATAGTGTTAAAGCACAGCAATACATCAACTATAAAGTCGGACTGCCTTTATGGCAGAGCCCATCAAAATCCTTTCATGGGTTCTTGTCATCATCTCGCTGAAGGTCTAAAAAGCACCATTTATGCAACTCAGCTAGGTATTTCACGAAGAAAAACAGATACCTAATGCTATCCAATTTCAGGACAGTAATATATGGACGCGCTACATCATCGCAAAACAACGGAATGTAAACCATTGTGAAGCAGAATTAGTGATAGCAAAGCAGACGAATTAAATCAATTTAAATCGACAATTACAGTCCTTGAAATCACTACTGGATGTTAGTTTTAAAGGGACGGGTGCCATGGAAAGAAGAACTATCCACGAGAGAGAGCGAGAGAGAGAGAGAGAGAGAGAGAGAGAGAGAGAGAGAGAGAGAGAGAGAGAGAGAGAGAGAGAGAGAGAGAGAGAGAGAGGGAGGGAGGGAGGGAGGGGGGAATTGGGGCCAGGCGACCCGTCCCACTGCAGTGTGGGTCGCGTCTATACTCTATAATTCCGCCCACTCCCAATTGTCAAACCAGTCAAATGTATCCGCCTTATCATACACCGAACTTCACTTAACTCACCTAAATTGACCGACATTATTTAAATGGCTGGAACCGAAAGATCCAACGATAGTACTCGTTAGCCGTTTTCACGACGTTAATCTGGTACACATTTGATGCAGATTTGGTCAAATTAGGTTCATCGTATTTTTGGCAGTTATTAGCTTGGGCTGCACAGTTGTTTATACATAGGTAGGGGAGAGTGGGGCAATGGCGACACCATAAGCATTTTGCTCAATAGCTTAGCTATTTGAAGCTATTTTATGGTGATTTTGACTGTGGTTATAGCCAAAGGAATAGGCTTTCAGTTAGCACCCAGTTTTAGTATCTCAGATCACTGATGACAGATTCAGAGCCAGTGGCGGCGGAAAAGGGGGTGCAGGGGGTGCAGCTGCACCCCCATCGAAAAACATGGGGGTGCAAACATATCTTTTTGCACCCCCAAAATCCGTACAAGGGGCCCGTCGCACCATCCAATACATTTTCTCCTGAAAACCAGTGATCGGGAAACGAACACTGATGTGGAATCATCCGGGATGTCCAATATGGTCAGGAGCGCCCCATGCTAGTCTTTGGGGCCGCTACACCGGCTAGAAGTGTCCCGAGCCGCGTTTGGTACTCCACGCGGCATCTGAGGGCCCCCACGACGGCCTCAGAGTGCCCTTTTATGACGATCTCTGAGGGCTCCCACCTGAGGGCTTTGTCCCCTGGGGCCCTACAACGGCCACTAAGGGCCCTCATGACGACCGCTGAGAGTCCCACAGAGACTCCAGGGCCCCAAGGAGACTCCAGGGGCCACGCTGGCCTCTGAGGGCCCCTATGACGGCCTCTGAGGGTCCTTACGATGATCTCTGAGGGCTCTCAAGACGAACTCTGTCCCCTGCGGCCCTATAACGACCACTAAGGGCCCTCATGACGACTGCTGAGGGTCCCACAGGACTCCAGGGGCCCCACTGGCCTCTTAGGGCCTCTACGATGGTCTCTGAGGGCCCTCGTGACGGCCCTAGACCCAACTCAAGTCTGAGGGCCCATTTGGTTTCAGACGGCCCAGCGACGGCCTCTGAGGGCCCCAACACAACCAGGCTGCAGGGGCTATGCTGGCATCTGAGGGCTCTGCAACGGTCTATTGAGGGCCCTAACAACGATGGCCTCTAGCGGTCTTACCAAGGCCTCTGAGAGCCATGCAAAGGTATCTGAAGGCCCATGAAGACCCTCAATATGGCCAAGGACCTTCATGACGACCTCTGATGATCCTCTCGAAGGCTTCTAGGGGCCCTCGCAACAACTTCTGAGGACCCCAGGACGGTCCCTAAGGGGCTGAGGCAGGCACGTAGCTAGGATTTGGCCAAGGGAGGGGCGGAGGAATCCCGGGGGCCTCCTTTCTACAGGGGGCCTCCTCCCTAAAGGGGCCTCCTTTCTACAGAGGGTCTCATGCCTACACAATTACATATACAACATAATGCATTTACTTTTGTTCAGCTTTCATATGGCAAGCGCACTGGTATGTTTCTTTATTCTTACCGCTGCAGGCTGCAGCGGTAAGAAACATACGCATATCACAAGTCTCCGAGTGGCATGATAACGGGCAAAAAAAAAAAAACTCGGGCGCCGGCGGCGGCCGGACCGCAGCAGGAGGGGGAGGATCTGCGAGGAATGGGAGGATACTGGATGACGGTCAGAGTAACACTTGGTGTATTATCATATATCGTTCAAGCGCTTAACCGTATTCCGGGCGGGCTCTGAAAGACTCTGAATCGGGCGGGGGCCTTTTCTGGCCCCCGTCAGAACTCGAAAAGCACGAATCGTAGCGACAAACGGCAAGGGCGTTTGATAGTTCGTTGAACGACTTACAACTTTTGTAAACAACTTTTTTTGGGTCAGGTCAATATTGAGGTCGCCAGAGGTCATAACAAATAACATGGTTTATAACGACCTACATAGATAGGTCAACTTCAAAATCTAACCTAGGAAAGTCACGCTGGGTACCAATCGACGCGTCATGACCAGGCGAACGGTTTGGTACACTAACAACTATTTAGCCCCATCATGTCGTGATTTATTGGCTAAAAACTGTTGATGACCTCACCTCACCTCAGATGATTCTTCCCGGTGCTCCTGTCAGTAAATGCCACCTGGGTGCTTACAGATCAGATAATCTGACGTAATTCAGAAAGAATTGGGTGGTTTTGACTCGTTTTCTCGAAGCAGGACACAGTTCATTACCTATATTTTCCAATAGGCTTGTCACGATTCTGACCTTACTGACGTCTGCAAGATTGAAACTATACGGTTATCAATTCTTTCTGTGTGAATTATGCCACGTTTACTTGCTGTAAGTAACACATGGTTTCGTTAGTAAATTTTCCTAGGTCCAGGTGGTTTGCTTCATTTACGCCGTAGATGAAACAAACAATCGATGGATAGGTATAGGTATATTAAGTTCCCGGTCAAATAAATTATTATGAGTTGTGCGAAGCATGGCTATGGGAATATCACCACGGTCTATTAAATGGTTTGGGTAATTGCATCCATCGTAAAAATACCAACACAGCCACAGGTATATATTACAGAAATGGGCTGCTGTGTTCATGCATTAACCCGCGCCCTGCCGGGGGTGGTAAACACCCCCCTGCAGTTTTCCGTGAATATCTAAAAAACGGCGACGCGGCACACTTTATTCTACATCATTTCTACACATGTTGTGAAAATTTCAGACCCTGGTCACTTAAGGTCAGGTCACCAGGTCAGGTCAAATGACCTCACTACATAAAAAGTTTTAATGTCTGCCAAAGGTACACGGAGTGACCAAACGCTTTGAAACTTTCAGAGATGCAAATGCACAAGAGCGACAAAATGCAAAAAATGTATGTCTTGGAATTTTGATATCGATGACATAAGGTCAGGTCAATTTTGCGACCTTAAACTGAAAGTCGCCTTTTTCGACGGAAGTCATTATAAACACTCTAAAACACTGAATTACTAGTATCTTTGACACATTGAACATGAAAATGGCACCCGTGACCCTTTCTATAACCCTGAGGTCATCTCAGGTCACGAATGGTATCTGACTGTTTTTCGCGAATAACTTTTGATAGAGGTATGCTAGAGCGATGAATACACCTTAGTTGTGTTTGGCTCGACGATACGGATGGACTGATATGGATCTTAGCCCTTATCGGTCAGGTCATGACCTTGACCTGAGGCCAAATTTTCAAGTTGACCTTTCAAGGTCAATTCATAGTTCATTCCACACGTCTGGACGAGAGGAACACGATGCTGGTAAAGGGAAGTTCGTGCAAATTTTGAGACGAAAGTTATCGCCGAAAACTGGTTTCCGAAAATATCGGCCATTTTGGCAGTTTTTGCGGCCACTGCAGGTAAAACCGTTGACGGGAAAACCGCTGACGGCACGCGGCATGATTTCTCTGAGCGCATTTATACAAATAATTTGTCTACATAGAATAGGGCCTTCTGTTTACAGAGGACCTCCTCCCCTGTCCCTTCCTACAGTGGGCGGCGACGCGGTTGGGAGTCTATTCTGTACAGTTTCCTGAGTTCTCAGTTTTCACTATAGTGAGAACTGATAACTCTCTATAGAGAGTAGCAGGGACCAGAAGCCAGAAGGTAATTTGCTCACAGTGGGCCTCCACTCTATGTACTTAATATACGACGCTGTCTTTGACTACCGGGGGCCTCCTGCCCACAGAGGGCCTCTTATCTACAGAGGGCTTCCTCTCTACAGATTGCCTCTTATCTACAGAGGGCCTCCTCTCTGCTGAGGGTGTCTCTCTCTCTCTCTCTCTCTCTCTCTCCAGAGGGCCTCCTTTACAGAGGGTATCCTCTCTACAGAGGGCCTCCTCTCTAGTCTCTACAGGGACCTCCTCTCTACAGAGG